AATATCGCCTGGTATTGCTTCACTGAAAATGACACAAGAATGTCAATAATTCTTTTATTAATATCCCTTCGTTTTATTAATATCTATTTAATTATTTGTAGGAAAAGGCGGAATTTGTCTCGGTGCAATGAACAAAACAATTTTTCCCGAAGTGAAACACCGCGGTACTCCGCGACTGTACCAACATACACTGATATTTGTCAGATAAAAGAATTATTAGGAGTCTAATTTCTTTTCCTTTTTACTGATATTACCAACATTAGTTACTAAAGAAGTCATATAATATAAATGATGTCGAAAATTAAATGAGAAACGCTTTAATAATTATTAAATACTTCTGACAGTTTGTATAAAGACGTGACCTTTAACTATTGTTTTAAAACAAGCATTTTCTTTACCTTGTCAAAATTAAATTTGTAAGATCATTTTGTAATTCAATAACCAATTCCTCTGTTATTTTATCAGTTTCGTTTTCGCAGTGGTTGTACGTGTTTATAGTGATGTTAATGCGTTTATCTCGATTTGTCAAGTATTTCGTTTCGAGAATAATTTTTTGAACATTCTGAAAAAAATACACAGTGTCTTTTATTATTACCATGTTTTATGATTAGTTTATTATCAAAATTTTAGTTCTATTTTATGTAGTAAAGAATTTTCAAGTCTACCACCCGCTCTTTTCTCTGCAAAGGTTGTACAGAATAGAGTCGTATAATTCAGTCATGATATCATCTTTCATAAAATTACATTTCTTTAATAATACCTGAATATTTCCAAGAAAATACCTGTGTCGTTATTTTAACTTGACCTTTCTATTGTTACAAGAAGCGAGAGTACTTGAGAGTATGAATAGACCTTTTCAGTCACCTTTTTGTATAAGTAATATTTTAGTTTTCGTACAAAGTCGACAACGGTTGACTTTTAGATTTGCAATCAAGAGGTTAACAAGTATATTCAATTAATTTGTAAAAGTTGACTCTAACAAAACTGTTAGGTAAATAACTTATAAATAGAATTGGTAAGACAATACTAAAATACAATTAAATATCTCCTTTCGTATGTCGTTTTGTGTACTTTTGATACATCATACTTATATTATAAATGCGAAAATTTAAATGGATGGATGTTTGTTAGTTTATAGCCTAAACGGCTGAACGGATTTCGATGAAATTTGTATAGATGTGGAGGATAGTCTGGAAGAACATAGACTACTGACTTATGTTTTTCCCATGTGGACGGAGTCGCGGACGAAAACTAGTCAACCATAAAAAATTACCCAAGTCTCGTTTTGCTTGATCGGAGTCATGGGCTCGCAGATTA